CCGAGGGTATATGGAGGCGACTTTCCCCTCGAAACGTGTCACGGGGGAAAAGCGCTCTCCCCTCGAATCGCGTATACGTATGTGTATATATATATATGTATATGTATATACTCTAGAAATACCGACCTCGAGGTACTTCCTCGATGGTTTGAAAGGTCAGTGAAAGGCCGGTCGGATTTACGTAGGAAGCATGAGCCCATTCTTCTCTGTTGTGGATCCAAATTGTCGCGAGCGAGCGAGAGAGCGAGCGAGAAAGCAAGCGAGCGAGCGAGAGAGCGAGCGAGAAAGCAAGCGAGTGAGAGAGCGAGCGAGAAAGCAAGCGAGTGAGAGAGCGAGCGAGAAAGCAAGCGAGCGAGAAAGAGAGAGAGAGAGAGAGAGGAGGATGATTTTTTATTTATATATAGGAGAAAAATGTTTCGTTTGTTTTTTTCTCTTTTTCAAGGTGGTACACTTGAGGCAGAGGCTAGACAACACGGTAAGCAGTTCGAGGGATCGATCTTTCCCTTTCGACGCGACTGTCGCCATGATCCAGTCCCTCATAGACTGCGACGAGTTCCAAGATATTGCCACGTTGAGGGTATACGCTTGTTTTTAATTCGAATATATTTCTTTAATCGGCGAAATTGAGAAACTCTTTGCCGACGTAATTCGTAATCGATATTAAAATATTTATAATAATACAAATGCTTAAATACTTCTTAATATAAATAAAATTGTATTGTATTGTTTTTTTTTGAGATGAGGAAATATATCGAGCAAAGAGTTCGTCGATCTCGCAAAATTTTGAGATTTATTCTTTCCCCTTTCCGGGATGGAAATGTGAATTTCAACCTCGCTCACGCGAGCGCCTCTCTCCCGTTTTACACGTTGCAGAACTTGGACGAGCTGCTGGACCATAAATCAAACTTAAGCGACAAGCTGTGTCAGATAGGGGACAGTATAGTGTACAAGTTGGTGCAGTGGACCAAAAGGTTACCGTTTTACCTTGAGCTACCGGTCGAAGTTCACACGACATTGCTCACCCACAAGTGGCACGAGATCCTCGTGCTGACCACCTCCGCCTACCAGGCGATACACGGTCAGCACAAGTTCTCCAACGTCGGCAGCGACGCGATGGGAGCGGATTTTATGCAAGAAGTAATTACCTCTTCTTTTTTTCTCTGTCTTTCCTTCTCCCTCCTACGTTGCGTTCCTATCGTTAGCCATCCAGTTTATATATATATATATATATTTGGTCTACATAACATTTTCTTGCCCGAACAGTATTCTTACCTTTTCGATAATAAAGAAGTAAAATATACCGAAAATGTTGCTTTTCGTCTCGCATCTTTGTTATCACGCACGCAGAATGAAACGAATTTTTCTTAATAAATAAACCACGAAATGCCAACTCTTAAAATATAACGATAAAATAACGACACGGTTCGGAATGAAGTTGGCTGGATAAAGGTTCGACTAGCGACGCTCGTGTGAAAAAACGAAATTACTTTCCGAACAACCGAATACCATCCGCGGATAAAAGACTTTCTCTTTAAACAGGCAATATATATAGATTGTATTCCACAACGGGAATGAGTAACCTGCACTCGTATAATCGTATCTATCGAAACGCGCCTTTTTTCCTCTCGTTACTAAAATGTAATTGATAGCATATCTGAAGACAGGGTACTTTCTACGAACGTGAACGTGAAACTTTCTACTTTGGAAAAAGTAAGATTGATAGAGAGTTTAGAGAGGAGAAAAGTATTTTTTTGGTTTTTTTGGTTAATTGGATTAATAAGTAAATGTATCGAGTATGTGGTGTGCACAGGTTTCGAACAACATGTATACGTTGCAAACGTGCCTAACGAACATGATGGGCCGGCCGATAACCATGGACCAATTGCAGCAAGACGTAGGCCTGATGGTGGAAAAGATTACGTATGTCACGTTAATGTTCAGGAGGGTGAGATTACGGATGGAGGAGTACGTCTGTCTGAAAGTAATCACCATGCTCTCGCAAGGTAAGTATCTTCCATCCAAATTTTCATCGTTGAAAACAAGCACAAACATCTGCTACTATAGTAAGTAGTATATAAAAACAAATGCATCCTTTTTTTTTTTTTCTTTGCTAATGCTAATTCAATTGGCGAAGCAATGTAAATTTTCGTACTAAAAACTGTAATAATTATTCGATCGATTATCGAAAAAAAAACAAAATAAATAAATAAAAGTACGTTTTATTCGTTTCTTCCTCGAAAGAAAAAAAATTAAAAATTGAATCAAGGATCGAATAATTACAAAAAAAAAAAAAAAAAAAAAAAAA